ACTTAATGTATCTACATTTATTTTGTAAGGAAACTCTTTCATATGGCTTTGGGTGACAAAGGGAAAGCCATCTCAAAAGAAGTAAGACTTACAGTTACTTCAAACCTTCCCAGGCAAGTTCAAGAAAAATTTGGTCTGTTGGTCCCATGTAGTACCTATGTAGTACCTATGCAGTAACTATGTAGTACCTATGTAGTAGCTATGTAGTACCTATGTAGTATCTGGTAGGCATGTGTTTGAATTGTATCCAAAACTATTTTTTTCTTTTCAGGCTTCCTCTCTGCAACTGCCTGAATTGCTGCTCACCTGCAAGCATCATTGCTTTTCTTGAGAATTATTGAAAACAACAGTGGAAAACTACTTCTCCTATCCATTTTGAAGACTGGGAGATTAAATTCTCTTTTACTGGGCATACATGAGTCAACATGAGACAACAAACTAAAACAACTCTCTTTTAAGCTTTTACACAGAACTACAAAAACCAGAGTATAATTATTTAGAATTTGATTCACAGATGTGAAACATATTCTTCAGGCCAAAAAGCCAGACTCATGAGTATGTGACAAAAAGCTTTGACTCCGTCTAAAGGCTTTAGCATCGTGGTTAAATAAAGTGTAGGCTTTTATATGACTTCATTGCCAACGTAATTTAACCGAGATACCAGTGGCCTCGAAATATAAAATAAGCAGTTGGATGATGAATAACTTATTAGACGCTTTAGGTGGGCAGTGTAACTGAGTATTTTTACGAGTTGTTCTGGCACTACTCGTAAGTAAAAATAGTTCGTGATACTACACACCAAAACGTCTGAAAATAAGATACATACCAAACCATTACTTCCGTCGTAGAGTAATGGGCTAAAATTTAACATTTCTACTCTTACCTTATGTTAAAATGTGTTCCACAGTGATTTGCTTCAACACAGTGTTAGCAAAGTCAACCTACAAAGGACGCCATCTTGTAGATGCAGCCTCGTTCCCGGGTTTCTCTCTCTTGTATCCATAAAATAGAAAGAGATGACACTGGGAATGAGCTTTTCAAATTGAACAACTTTTGGCATTTGGAGTAACCTTTTGAGCAAAATATAGATTTAAAGCAGATATCAAGTGCGAAAAATTCAACGATTTCATAGAAAACTTCAATTCATGCAAATTCTTGAATCGATGACTTAGGTTAATATGTGAAAATCAAATATGTGTACTGCGGGTTAAGAAATGAATATCAAAGCGATCTTCGCAGTAATGAAAACTACTTAAGTTCAGGCCTGTACGGGATTTCAACCAAGATAATACAGTGATATTCTCTTGATTTGAATCCTTGAGCTCTGCGATACCGGTGCAGCGCTCAACGAACTGAGCTAACAAGCCAACTGAAGCTGTTCATTATGTTGGTTTGTAATAAACCTGTGATTTTTTAATTTCAGTTTCAGGCCTTGTAGACCAAGTTTTTTGTCTGATCCATTCGCCTGCGAAAGTTAATTATTTACCTTCATAATTATTTACCTCCATACTTATAGATATAACAGATGTATTCTGCTGACAAGAATAGATACTTCCGGCGTGAAATTCCCTAAAGCCAGCAGCTAATTTAATGAATTCTTCCCCAAGCACAAACAACGGTGGTAATTGTAATAGAATAATTTTAAAATACCCAACGTTTTCTATGCCAAGAGATGTTATGTAACGTGAAATTAAACCCTGAAAACCTTGTTTAATTAAAAGGAACAGCAACTGATAAAAAGCATGAGAGCGTTTTACTGCTGACGTACTCACCAAAGAAAGGTTCGGCGTAATTAAAGGCTAGTTTAAAAACCAATAAAATTATAGAAAAGAGATACTCGGCAAAAGAAAGAACTGAACTCTTCTCTACTTTAACTAGCGACTGAAAACTGAGAATTATTTAGAACGTAAGGGAAAATTTACACCAGTATTAAGATCAAAACCCTTCAAACCATAACGATCTTGGCATGTAGCAAGTTTGCTGTAGTCAAGTAATGTTTAAGCTTAGAGAGGGCCTGTTTATATGGAAGTGGGAGGCTGCAGATAGGTGAGGTAGCCCGCCTAGCCGCGGTCGAAACATAGCTCGCGTTTACATACAATCTTACTACCCCGGGATCGCGGGGTGAAGTTTGATGAGGCTGTTGGCGCGCTTCCAAATGTGACATGAGCGTGACCCTGGCTAAGCGGGTTACCCCACCTTTAGACGTTTACCCCGGCTGAAAGGGTCACCCTATCCGGCAGAACGGGCAACCTGCAAAAGTGGGTTACCCCACTAATCATGTGATCGTGATCGAAATCAAATAAGACATTATATGGGCAGTCGGGCTATCCCACCTACGCAGGATACCTCACTTACCAGAAGTCCCCCACCTGCATGTAAACGGGCCCTAAATGTAGGAGGGAATTTTTAGGGGTAAAAAAGAGAGTTACGTAATGTACATGTGACATCCCCAGATAAACAAACGTGTGTTATTAAAACGAAAAAGCTTAAAAAGGTTCAGGTTGTCATTTACAGCCACATAGTCTTGAAATTTTACAGCTAATACTAAGTATTTAACAGGATCTTTTTTCATTGTTTCTTTTTTAATTTTTCAAAGGTAGATTTTAGATATTTCGATCGCTTCTTTGGAGAAGGGTCATGATGTGCCAATACATACTGCCATGATTAGAATGTTTTTTGGGGGAAAGAACTTGAAAAGGTGGAAGCCTTCACAACTGCACGGCTTCATAGGTGTCACGTGACTTGGCCAGTGCTACGTTATGGCGAAGCTTGCGTAATACAAAAGAGCCTTATGCCCTATCTTACTTCAAGCGCTGATCCCGTTCTCCATGGCAAGAAATGTCATGTCCTGACCTCAAGCTTAATATTTTCTAGTCCGGCTCTCCTAATCAGTCGATAAGTACATACATATGATTACAAACCGAATTGGAATCCACACAGTCCCACCACTATTATAACTGTTCGCCAGATAGTAAAAAAAAGAAATTTCGATTCCTTAACCCGTTTGAGATGACAAGGACGGCAATGTTGCCTCCGGCCTGACTGTCGGCGTCCGTCCTGACCTATAATGAACGTCAAACTGCTTGGACAGAAAACCGCCTACAGACACCGTCAACCGTCCATCGAGCTTTTCCCTGAAGGCAATGGCTGTATACATAATCAATCTATCATTTCGTAAAAAAGGCTGTAGTTATTCATCGTAGTGAATAACAATAAAAGCTAAGTGTTCCGTTTGTCTCACGATGTAGTCACATGTGATGTAGATTGCGGCGTTTCGACTGCACACTGCTAGTCTTCTTCAGGCGATGGGGTCGACTGGTCATGCGTGATCTTCTAAAGCATGATGCTCTGCTGTGATTGGCTGTTTTTTCAACAGCTCTGATTGGCGCATTACGATCCTTGCTGTTTCACTCAGTAATTTGCTCCCCAAGCGGTCCGCTTTCGCGCGGATCTCCCGTTGTTGTGTTTTTTGATCGTGGGCATCCACGCTTCTGGAATTTCTATTCCACCATCCCTGTTGATGTTGTCAGGGTGAAGTCTTATATGAATGCCAATCAGAGCTGTTGAAAAAATAACCAATCACAGCAGAGCATCATGCCTTATAACATCACGCATGACCAATCTATCATTGTTGTATCTCTTATAGTGAGCAGTACTGTGATTTAAAAACTGTAACATTTCCTCCGTTCGTTTATATTGATTCGAGTTTAAGCGAGTCTGAAGACGCTATTGATTTTGAGTCAGCAGTTAAGCAGGGGGGGGGTGGGATGGTTTCAATTGAATAATCCCTTAGCTGATTGAATCGCCTCTACGCTCTAGGCATCATGATAATCAAATGTTGCGCAAGATTTACCTAAAACATAACACCATCCTTTGGTGCTGAAACCATAAACACTCATTTTCATATCTCGTGTTTCATGTCCACATACATAATGGAAGGGCTCTCAAAATTAGCAATGTTTGTGGTTGAAACGTTTATTGACCAGGTAAAAAATTCAACGGCTTACTTAAAACTTGGATGTTAAACCCGTGAAACAATTGGCCGCTCAAAGTAGCTTCAAAATAGCAGTAATGATCGTGTGCAAATGTAGCTGAAACGAAATAAATTCACATCGCAACCTCGTATATCCTATTTGATCACCTTTGCCTTGATAATATTATGATAAAAAAACTTTCCTTATTGTTGTTTTTGGGTAATTTTTTTCAATCGCAAAGGGGTCCGTGTGAAGGTGAAAAAAATTTCCCCCTAATTTATTTTTGCTTTTAGTGTGTTTGCTTCACTTTGACCTAAAACTACAGGGTAAGCTTTCGCCAAGAGACACCAAGAACTGCAAAAAGTGTTCCCTAATCAGAAGTGTAACGGATGGGAGCCAAAGTTTTTTTTCTCACTTCAGTCTCCTTAAAACAGCAGTGTTGACGATCAACTTAAAGCTACATAAATGTATGTTCCAATCAGCCAAAAATTGATCAACAAGAACAAAAAAACTGATCAAGAACAAAAAAACTGATCAACAAGAACATCAAGGCAACTTCATGTGTTCCTCATAGTGGCTAAGGAGCTGGGAAGCACTGCTCAGTTCCTCCTGGCAAATCCAACAAGTAAATGTTTCATCGTAATTTGAAGAATATGGCTGCTGTGCAAAGTGCAATCTTTCGTGTTTTTGTAGTGTTCTTTTTCGACAAAACCACTTCTCACACATTTTGCACTGGTATGGTTTCTCTCTAGGGTGGGATTTTTCATGTCTTTGTAGACTACCTTTTTGAGTAAAACACTTGTCACAAGTTTTGCACTTGTATGGCTTCTCTCCAGTGTGTAATCTTTTGTGTATTTGCAGACTTCTTTTCGTAGTAAAACACTTGTCACAAGCTTTGCACTGGTATGGCTTCTCTCCAGTGTGAGATCTTTCATGTCTTTGTAGACTACTTTTTTGAGTGAACCACTTGTCACAAGTTTTGCACTGGTATGGCTTCTCTCCAGTGTGAGATCTTTCATGTCTTTGTAGACCTCTTTTTCTAGTAAAACACTTGGCACAAGTTTTGCACTGGTATGGCTTCTCTTCAGTGTGGGATCTTTCATGTATTTGCAGACCTCTTTTTCTAGTAAAACACTTGGCACAAGTTTTGCACTGGTATGGCTTCTCTCCAGTGTGAGATCTTTCATGTCTTTGTAGATTACCTTTCTGAGTAAAACACTTGTCACATGTTTTGCACTGGTATGGCTTCTCTCCAGTGTGGGATCTTTCATGTATTCGTAGACTTCCATTTGAAGAAAAACACATATCACAAGATTTGCACTGGTATGGCTTCTCTCCAGTGTGGTTTCTTTCATGGACTCGAAGACTTCCCTTATGAGTAAAACACATATCACAATATTTGCACTGGTTTGGCTTCTCTCCAGTATGTAATCTTTCATGTACTTGTAGATTTATTTTCTGGAGGAACCACTTGTCACATGTTTTACACTGGAATGCCTTCTCTCTAGTGTGTGATCTTTCATGTATTTGTAAATTATATTTTCGATTAAACCACTTGTCACAAGTTTTGCACTGGTATGGCTTCACTCCAGTGTGGGATCTTTCATGTTTTTGTAAATTACCTTTTTGAGTAAACCACTTATCACAGGTTTTGCAATGGTATG